TGGCCGGTCTGTATGTGGGATCCGAACCCTCGGCGGGAGTGCCACCGCGCTCCCAAGTGGCGCACTGTAGCAGTGCGCCACCGGGCCGGCCCTGAACAGAAACTTTGAGTGTTAAAATAAATCTCACGTCTCACTCCTGTTCTCACCCCCTGGTTGTGCAAATTCTTTACATCCAGGCTGATTATTTCCATCCCATTTTCTTAGGATTATTGCCAAGTTAACATGTCTGAAAGCAAACTTGCTATTAGCCCTTCTGAGCTTGCTCTCCTGACTTCGTTCTGTCCTTCTGGTCTTCCAGGCTTCAGAGCTTTGAGCCTTCTTGAACTTGTTCTTCCCTATTCCTCTATCTCCTCTTTCCCACTGAGTCACCAAGATGTGTGAATCTTCCTTCTTCACATCTAGCTTTGAATCTGTACGTCTCAGAGAAACTCTAGAAATAAGTGCATCTGGAGGATGCAGAAACTACCCACGATATTTTACAAAGTTGCTAAAACGGTAGCAAGAGATCATGAGAAACGGGAGAACTATGTATCCAACAGGGCAGGGAGCTTGTAAGAAGACAGAAACAAAGCTCTTAAATGATTAGAATGTCCCCTGTATTAGTTTGCAAAGGCTGCCATAACCTAATACCACAGACTGCGGGGCTTCAACAACAGAAGTTACTTTTTCCACAGCCAGGAGGCTGAAGTCCAAGATCAATGTGTCAGCAGGGTTGGTTTCTCCTGAGGCCTCTCCCCTTGGCTTGCAGACGGCCACCTTCTTGCTGTGTTCTCACATGCTCATCCTCTGTCTGTGCTCACATCTGTGGTGTCCTTCCTATTCTTATAAGAACACAGTCATACCAAATTAGGGCCCACCCTTGTGACCTCACGTAACCTTAATCACCTCTTCAGAGGCCCTATATCCAAACATAGTCACATTCTAAGGTCCTGGGGGTTGAGACTTCAATATTTTCTGGAGGGAGAGGGATGTGATTCAGTCCATAACATCCTCATTGATGAAGAAGAAAGGAATTCAGCAGAGAACACAGTGAGGGACTCCCTAGCACTTACCGGAGAGTTTTGTAAAATGATAGAAAAGATTTCAGCAGGAAAAAGAAATTAGGCTGTAGCACATGTGACACAAGGATTCGGAAGGTTAAGGATGTGTAAAAAGCCATATATAACCAACAAATCCACAGAAATTGACACCCAATGTGATGCCAGCCTGACGCTGTATCTCTTGGCAAAATGAACGTAACAGTGATTTTGGAAAATGTGCTTATTTGGGAGTTCTTCTCAGTTTGAAGCAGGGAAGCATGGAGGGAGAGACAGGTGGTCAGTCACTAAAAAGTGTTCACCCAAAGGACCTCAAGGTTGCCCTGACACATCAGATTATCTTGAGTCTGGTACCTCTGCCACCCTCTGAAAGACAAGAATTTTGGTGGTATAGATTTATCACAGAACTTTGTACCAGCCAGAAAAAGCTGAGCTGGAATTGATAACTCTCTTCCAGTTATTTGTTGCTGCAAAGCTGCTGTGAGTGGGCGGCTGGCCTGGTGGGTGGAATAATGGTCCCCTGTAGATGTGCACATCCCAATTCCTGGGACCTGTGAATATGTTATCTACAAAGCAAATGGAGAATCTTGAGACTGAGAAATAATCCTTGATTTTCTAGGTAGATCTGATGTAATCACAAGGGTCCTTATAAGAGGGAGGCAGGAGGGTCAGAGTCAGAAAGAGACTGGAAGATGGTACCTGCTGGCTTTGAAGACAGAGGAAGTGGCCATGAACCAAGGAATGTGGGTGGCTTCTAGAAGCTGGAAATGGCGAGGGAACTAATTCTCCCCTTGTATCTCTAAAAGGAACTAGCCCTGCCAACACCTTGATCCTAGCCCAGTGGGACTTCTGATGTCCAGAAGTGTAATAACAAATTTGTATTATTTAAGCCACTAAGTTTGTGGTAATTTGTTATAGCAGTAATGGGAAACTAATACATCTGGTTCAACCTAAATATCAGATCAAATACCTCTGGGTCCATGCCAGTTCCTTTAAAGGTGGGATGCATCTACACTTTCTCCACGTCCACTCTCCCATCCCCCAGACACCTGTGGGGGCTGGCCTTTCTTCCAAATACCCAACCTTGGCTGGCTGTCACGTCAAGGCTCTCTCTGCTCCAGGCCTTCCAAGCACTTCTGGATGAAATCTTTTGGTAGTTTCCACCCCCAGGCAGACACCCTTCTCGGCAGAACATCAGTTCTT